CAAATGATATAACATTACTCCTTAAAATCTTCTGAGATCTTAGAAGAGTAATTGTTGAGAAGCAAAGGAAGAATCTCCATACAGGTACAAGAATAAGTTGCAATTACTAAACATTGTAATATAAAATATCTACAACCACTACTATAAGGTTTCCCATGGTGATTTTTGTTTTAAAAATATACTTTAGCCATTTAGGATCTATAGATTCACAAAATTTAGTTTTAAAAAAGCCTAACCTATTATATGTTTAATTCAGAAATATTTGCAGTGGAAAGTCATCAACCCACCTACCCACCTACTTGTACCTCCACACAGTTTTAGGTGACAGTTTTCAGGATATGGGCCAAATTTTACACATTTGTTCATGTGTTTAGTATGTTGTACTGAGAAGCTAAAATATCTTAATGAGACTATTTGACTTTAGAAACTGACTCTGAGTCAATGCACATAAAGCTCTTGAGACAGCATGACATTTAGAATCAATACACTATTAGTTAAGTGAATATGATTTTTCTAATGCAGAAACAACTTATGATTAATAAACAGATATGACTATAGTTGAGATTTATACTAATTTTCACTATAGAGAACAGCGGAATTCAAATAAAAATGTCCCCTGGAGGAGCAGCATCTAAGTTCTAACATCAAGTTCTTTTTGCTTTTCCCATGAAATGTGACTTTGAAACAGAAAATACAGGAAAAAGATTCTATAAGATACATATTAAAATTAAAAAAAACCTAATGTAGTAATAGAGATAATGTTATATTTGAAATCATTTTGCCAGAATAGTAAAACATAGATATGTATGTTTCTTTCTTATCTCAAACTACCATCTTGGCTCATATGTTTGTGAAACACAACGTTTTTTTTTTTTAAGTCTTGAATTAAGAAAGGGGCATACAGATCTTGATTATAGTTAACAGGCTTCTATTCTTATTTGGAAGAATCTTTTCATATAGCCTTTGGATATACTAAAATGTACCTGATAAACAGCTGCTCGTAAACTATCTGCTTTGTCAAGCTCAGCACTATATTTTTGTAAGTGTTTATTGTCCAAGACCTTTAATGTTCCCAAGTATTGAGAAGATGTAGTTGTAGATGGAGGGATGTTTTTTCCAGCTTTCTTCAAATATGTAGAGGACAGAGACCTGTGAAGCATCAATTTGTAAATATATCAAAATAAGCTTTCAATTTCTTACATCAGATGCCAGGTAGAGCCTCTTCTCATTCAAGTTACATCTAGACTTTGCTTATAATCCTGTTTTCACATGCTTATACCTTTCCAGAGGGGAAAGGACTAAGAAAGAGGACACAGCATAGTGTCCATTTTTGCTTTTTACATGGGAGTTTAATCAATAATAAAACAAACTGCAGGAGTTACAAAAATTCTGCTAGTGAGCCCAACAGAGAATGTGAACTCCACAATCCCAATAATATCAGTTCAAAAGTATTAAAAGCCCATACATAGTTTAACCTAACAAGAGCATGTTGAGACAGGTACCAACTGTGGGTCCCATGGCACATACAGATGAATGTTTTAATAAAGGGCCTGTGGGTCCGACCTGTCAATGGAGCTATGGAATGTTGCCACCTCCCCTCCTCCAGCACCCTTCCACAGAAGGACAAATGTTGGCATCAGGCAGCATTCCCTGTAAGCTTCACACTTGTGCGGCTACTCAGGAGAGAGTCAAATGTCACCCAACTGATTAGCAGAGCACCCACAGTTAGTTTTTTTATTTCTACTGGTGCTGCAAAATTCACACATGACCCGGTGAACAAATAAACAAACAAACAAATGTTCCACACATGGACTGAAAAGATTAGAGGAAATATTGGTGACAGAGTGATGGTGGGTGAGAGTGAGTGGCTATCGTGTGTTGATAATGTGCATCTTATCTTTCTGAAGAGATCCCATCAGATGGGATCAGATTCTAAACTTTGACATTAGTATTGTTTACTTACCTGCCTGATGGTTTCACTTTTTGAGAAAGTGTTTCTTTATTTTCAATTTCTTTCTAACAAGCCAAAAAAGAAAAAGAAAAATATTATACCCACTGTCAAACAATGAAATCAGCGTATAGCCTGGAAATGCTGTATCAAAGGCTTTATAAAATACTAGAATGCAAAATATGAGTGCAAGGAAGGCAGACAAGTATTTTCTGCCATTCTCAGAGCTTGTTATACTCAACAAAAAATATGGCCAATATAAAGTCCACCATAATCTTACAAATAAAAGACCAAAATAAAGTATACCACAATCTCCATTATAGTAATTTACCCGGAAATATCATTATTTAGTTAGGATTACATTTTAAAAGTGTCTTGCTATATATACAGAAAATAGGGAGTATGTTATTAATTATTATTATTATTGATTAATTGTAGTACCACATGTGAAAGCAGGCTCTTTGCTGGCCAGGCCTCTCGCACGTATTGCCATCCAAGGAAAAGGTCAACTTCTCCTTGATGAAAAACCTTTACACTATGTAACTTAAAGACCAGCAAAGAACAGGAACCAAAACCAGATCTAAAAAGTTCATGTAATGTTCGTGCTGGTTGTGCTGACTGTGCCATGCCCGATAAGGCAGAAAAGGAAAAACAGGAAACCATCTCTCCCCTTTACTCCTGTCCCTTAACAGACAGGGTCTGCTAGCCTATCACAAAAAGCTCACTAAAGCTTTCTTTATAAAACAGCTTCCCCTCCTGTATCAAATTGAGGAATCCCGAATAAACATTGGAAGGCAGAATACGAGCCAGGTCTGAGGACTAATCACCCGAGGGCCACCTCCCACTCACCGAACGAAATGAGTTCCTGTAGAGCGTAACGTATACCAAATATAACGTACCAAATACATTGTTGTTATTGTTGTAGTTTGTGTCTCTGTTAAATGTAAGTATTGTTATCTGAAATTGTTTAGCAGTATTGTTAAGTAGTAGCATTAAGAGTTTTAGATAAACGATTAGTCTTATAAGTAAGACTGATGAAAATGTAACTGTTAATAATCCCTGGTCCCTTGTTAACAACTATTAGGATTTAGAGAAACCTCAAGGAATTTTCTTTACTGTATTGAATTTTGCTTATTAGTCATTCTAATAATTGATAAAATAATAATTTATACGTAGAAGTCCTTTAATAAAAGTTTAAAAGATATTTAGTAATACTTTGCCTGTTTCTGCGCCTCCCTGGGACTGGCCACATTTCTGAACCTTTTACTTTAACCCACACCACAGTGTTGAACGATCCCTAGTTATGGACTAGGAACCCAGTGGGGTAGGCCCTAAAAAGCTTACAATCTATGTATATTCTCTTTTTGCCTTGTACTACAGCTGACATTTATTATACGCAATACACAAATCATTTCTATAAACAGCACTTAAAATACAGTAAGTTAGATCTTCCTCTAGTATATACATCCCGACTGATCTAACCCAGATTATATCTCCTAAAGATCTCACCCAGTTTACTTTTAAATTCTAAAAGTGGATTTAAATAAGGCCAGTAAACCCAAATTTTGGTCCCTTTTATTTGTTGTTAAGTATTCATTGAATGTATGTTCCCCTCATATTCTAAAAACTGATACTATTTTGTAACCGAATTGATACCAGAGTCCAGGGAGTGGCTTTTAGCATTGATTCTATTATAAAATAGTGTCTGTACATATACAGGATAGAATCAACAAGTTAAGCTTACAGGATGTTGTTATAAATTAAGTTAAAAATGTACATGTATATAGGATACCTTGTCTGAGTACTCGGAAGTGTTCACTTCCGTCAGGTCTCCAGATTGATCATTCAGTGACATTTCCTTTATGCCATCAGCAGTGAATTGCTCTTCCAATGTTTGCAAATGTTCTTCAAGCTGGTCATCAGTTGATTTCTCTAGTTTCTTAGTTTTCTCATATACTGTAGTCATCATTAGTTCTATCACAGATGGGGATTGTCTGCCATTATTCTCTAATTTCAAAACACTGCAGTCATCACCTTCTGTTTGATCCTGGCCTAAAGTAAGGTGAAAAACCAATGAGATACGAGACACCAAGAGATGCCATTTTTCAGAAAAAGTCTGTGGTTTGTCAATTCAGGTATTCTGTTCATGGGACCTCCCTGGTCCAGCACTCTAGGGATCTGAGTGGTCCCTAACGGCAGAGTTTGTGGGACTAGGAGAGGTCAATGCTCCCCTCCTGATTGTTGGCCTTACTCCTTGATGCAGGCCAGCTGCCCCCAGCCCAGGGCTGGGGCTATGTTCCCCAGTGCACTGACCCTAGTCCGGGCTGCAATCCCAGGTGCCAGCTCAGACCGCACTCCCAGGCGCCAGCCCTGCTGCCTCAGTCCTGGGCAGGGCTATGCTCCCTGCTATGCCGCACTGGCCGGAGCTGTGCTGCCAGTCCCTGCTGGCCAGGGCTGTGCTCCCAGCTGCTGGCCCTGCTGCTTCCAGTGCTCCACACCCAGCCCCAGTTAGGGCTGTACTTCCCACAACACCAGCCTTGCACTCCCCACCAGTAGCCCAGCCCCCGAACCTGGCCAGAAAGGTTCTCTGGTACGGCAATATCTGCAGTCCTTCTAGATCAGTGTTTCTCAACCTTTTTTTTTTTTTTTTTTAATAAGTACCCCTTAAAAAAAAACCATTTTTTAAAAATGTAAGTACCCCCAGTACCTACAGTTTTCAGACACACAATTTTTTTTTCTACCATAGCAACATATTTGTTTAAACTACTTAATTGTAGCCAGGCAATGAAATGTTTGGGTGTAAAAAGTACAAAAATAATAAAGCGCTGTAAAACTTAAAACAAAAATTCAGTTTTCTCCAAATTTCAGTTGTGTTGATGTACCCCACCCCCCACCTCAGAGACTTCTCTCAAGTACCCCTAAGGGTACTTGTACCACTGGTTGAGAAATACTGTTCTGGACCATGAATGTTGTCAGACCAGAGAGTCCTGGATTTTAGAGGTTCAACCTGTACTTACAATAGTCATGTATGAAAAAGCTTATTAAGTATGATACAAGACACATTATTTTCTGTAATGTGATGATGTCCTAGCATCTTCTGTACACTTTAATGACTTAAAAAAGAGTGTGTGTGCGTGTATCATATTACAAGTTAACATTGCTGCTGCAACAAATACATTTTAAATTTAAGGTAAGTAACAATTCTGTGATAAAACACCTCAGCAAAACTGTAAATTATTAGTTATCTGATCATATTCAGACAATTTTCTAACATAAAATGTAACAAAGAAACATTTGTATTGTATCAAGAGCTACTCAGGTGTTCACTGAAGTATTACAGACGTTTTTGCAAAACCTTGACAATAACACTTTGTATTTTATTTCTGATTTATATGCACTTTTTCTCCTTTGGAATAGGAAATTTTTGCTGGTGACAGTTTTCTATGCAGAACTTAAAAATATAAATCAAAGACTAAATGTATGCTTTGATTAATAATAATCATCATTAATTTTTAAAAAGTTGTTAAATGGATATTCCTAAGTGATTTCCACTATGATAAACATGGGATTTCTATATCCTTAAGGCAGTTTAAAGAAAAATCTATAGGAGCCACAGTATCTCTCAAATTAATATTCCTGTGCACATTTTTGGTTGAATTCTAAGAGAAGTGACAGGGGATTAGCTAGTAGATCAATGCAGCCATGGAAGATGCACTGGGCCTATAATTTGAGTTTAATCTAAAAACAAAGAATTGTAGATCTCTGTATGCTACAAGGGTGACATTTGGACAAGTTCTAATTTGAAGGTCTGAAAATCAAGATAGGACATCTGGATTCTATTGCTAGCTCTGACACTGATTTACTGTGTGCCTTGGACAAATCCTTTTATTTTTGTGCCACAGGTTGGAAAACGGAGATTATAGTACCATTTTCAACAATGCTTGGAGATCTCTAGTTGAAAAATGTTATAAGACAATCATTATTGTGATATCTTCTTTGCCAGATCAGATTATAGCACTCTTAGAACCATTCTGCTTTTTCCCTTAACTACTATCTACAGTATCAAGTTTACAATTCTCATAATCCCTTTCAATACCTTACTCAAATCTGCCCCAGACTCTCAGTATTGTTTGTCTACTGTATTTGTCCTCCTTTCTTGCTATACAGATGTCCTCATCTTCACTACTTTACTTCTTCCTTTCATGCAGGAAAATTGTCTCCAAACCAGTAAAAAAGGCCTCACCATCTTCTCTATGTTCAAAGCTTTCCAAAAGACTTGCTTCATCCAGAATGCCCACAAACATTAACCCACAGCAAAGATATGGATCAACTCAGGAGCACAAATTAAATATAAATATTACATGACACATTCTAAACATCACTGCTTATATGCTGCAGCCTTTTTTCACTCTTTGTCCATATTGTCTACATTATAAACTTTTTAGCGCAAGGACTTCCTTTTATACATATTCTATTGCACACCTCAGATCAGTGCCCTGTTTAAACATTACTACCCTTAATTTCCTCTATGAGTCTGCCTCTTCATTTTATTGATCTGTGGTAGTCTTCCAGATTGTCAACTCTATTATGAGGTATAGATTCTCTGTTTCTGCATTGTACAACACAAACATACAACGGCCAGGTCTATACTGGTGGAAAAAATTGATGCAAGATAGGCAACTCCAGCCATGTGAATTCTGTAGCCGGAGTAAACATACCTTGCATTAATTTTCAGGGGCAGCCCCACAGCAGGAGATTGACAGGAGAAGGTCTATAAATTCATGACTGGTGTGGAAAAAGTTAATATTGAAAAGTTATTTACTTATTCCTAGAATATAAGAACTAGGGGGTCATCAAGTGAAATTAATAGGCAGCAAGTTTAAAACAAACAAAATGAAGTTTTTCTTCACTCAGCGCACAGTCATCCTGTGGAACTTCTTGCCAGAGGATGTGGTGAAGGCTAGAACTTTAACAGGGTTCAAAAAGACCTAGATAGATTCATGGAGGTTAGGTCCATCGATAGCTATTAGTCAGGTGGGTGGTGTCCTTATCCTCTGTTTCTCTGGAGGTGGGTGACAGGGGAGGGATCATATGAGGATTAAATCCCTCTGGGGCATCTGGTATTGGCCACTGTCGGCAGACAGGATACTGGGCTAGATGAAACTTTGGTCTGTCCCGGTATGGCCGTTCTTAAGCAAAAAAGTAGGTTGTGTCCACATTGAGGTTTCTAGTTACATGTACCAATGAAAGGTTCTGGCAAAGGATAGGCAGCTGGTTAACCCTGAAGCACCTCACTGCCACAATCTTCTAGCCATTGGAGGAGTCTTCCTGTGGAGGGGAAAGGATCCAAAGCAGGAAGGCAGCAGGAGACCATGCTGCTAAATGTAGCAGTGTAGACAGGGGCTGAACTTGGGCAAGAAGAAAATGTATAGGGTATACATTCACATGACTACTCACAAGCTTCAAGTAAATCTTTACTTGCTTATGTCATGTCCCAGGAACTAAACTACTATTTATATTATGGGGTCTATGTGAAGGTATAATATGCAGAATATAGGCCACCAAAAGTGATCTGTAGAATAGATGTAACCTTATTGATTACTCCTCTGCAACAAAATGACACCAATAAATCATTATTGTCATATGCTGATGCATACTGTAATTAGTCTCAGATTTCTAAAATAAATTTAGGGGATGGATTCACCTCTATCAGTGGAACCAAAAGACTACATTGATATCATGGACAGTAGTATCAGGCCCTCAAAAGTTGCTTATGCTAAGCTCTTTTATTATTTTACTGGTTGTATATATTCAAGCATAATGCTTCAATATGAAGTATTTTGACTTCTACCTTTTGAAGGAGAACCTTCTCCACACATTAACAAATTGGAATCTCCAAATGTTTCATCAGTTGAATGAAAATGAATAGGGAATGGTGGTGAAGAGCTTGTTAGCCATGGACCCTTAAAGCAGAAAATAACAGCATAAGCAACCACATGAACTATTCACACCAAATCAAAAATCAATTAACTTGCTTCTAAAACAGTTTTCTACGCAATACTTATTTAGAATTCGTTAAGAAAATTATGGCTCCTGTTTTCAAGGAAATGTGAAAGTAAACAAAACTTTTTAGAAAGGGTGTAAACTCACCACACATTAGGGTCAAATCCTGCCCTTTTAAATGAAGCAGATGGTTTGTCTACACTGCCCCACAGTTTGGATTTCAACAGAGTGGGATGAAAAAGTAATGTAAATGCAAACTAGGAATCTTTTTGTTCATTCCTGGAATATCCACACAGGGGAGACACAGGAAAGGACTATGGTACACCCTGATATTCACCCATACCCCTTCATTTGTGGGACAGGAGACATGGCCACAGAAGAGCAAAGATGCTGTCGGATGGGTCTTCTGCCATAAGAATCCTGCAGGTACAGATAGGCCCTTTCCTCATGGCAGAACACAGCTACAAGGAGTAAGATTGATCCTGCTGCTGTTTCTCTGAACTATTACATACTGCTGATAAGCAGCATATATGCTAGTCACTTTGAGACGTAACATAGGCTTCTACCCTTCTTTTGAAGAAAGGCTCTACGTACGGACATGCTAATTAGGTGTACTGTACTGCCTAGAGTATTTTTCCATTGTATTCAAGGAGGATACTATTCCCTATGACCTTCTTTCTACACCATCATCCAACTGTGATGCTGAAAGCAATATTTAGATTACTAAATTAGCTGTGTACAGAATTTTGGGAGAGTCATATTTAGTACTCTGTTCACAGCAAAAATAAATCTTTACACGAAATGTATTAGTCAAGTTAGATTGGTAAAAAAAAAAGTGCATGAAAAGGGATGTAATTTTTTATAACAACATACCTCTAGGCTTGAAAGGATAAGATTTTTACTGGTAAAGATCTATTTCACTGAGCACACTCAAATCCACTAAAAACATCTCTGTCAATAATAGTTAAAATTTACAGCTAGGTAAATTAAGAAAAATGCTGCTTGTTATTTGCTTTGTACAATACACATATGATGCTGACAATTTATATTGTAATGGTTATAAAGCTTGACCTTTTTTGTTATGGAAAATGATATGACAGATAGATAAAAGAGTGTTTGGGGAAAAAACCTTACAATGTAATCTATGTTATTCCAGTCTAGAAAAGACAAAATATATGTAGAAAAATAGATTAATATTTATGTGCAAAGCTGATACTATAATAATACTCTTACCTCAGGACTAGGGCTTTCAGCAAGGGCCCTTTTCTCAGAAGTTATTTTGTCACTCAACCTAGTTAGGGATGATGGTGCAGAAAATGAAGATAATCTGCAACTAGAAGAAGCTTTGTCTTCTGCCCTGGTAACATCTTTGTCTTCTATATGACTGCTTTTTCTTAACACGCTTCTTGGTTGAGGTGATGGTTTACAACGATCATCCAGAGTAGAAATGCTGACATTCTCAGCTGACAATAAATATTGTTATTTCAGCATCATCCACTAAAGATATAAAATTCTAAACTGAATAAAGTTTTGTCAGTTTGACTAACATTTACGGATGAATCCCTATCTTCTGTAAAGCAGCAGTAGTCACAACAGGTCAATGATAATTATATCTTACAGGCAGTCCCCGAGTTACGCAGATCCGACTTATGTCGGATCCGCAGTTACGAACGGGGTTTGCTGCCCGTCTCCCTGGTCTGCTGGAGACCAACAGACCAGGGAGACAGGGAGCAAAGCGGAGCAAAGCCGCGGAGCACGCGGGCAGCGGACAAACCTGCCCCCTCCCAGCACCATTCTCACTGTATTTTTCCCACAAATTTACTCTATTCTGCTTTGCACAGAGGGAAGCAGATGGGTTTATGAAATGAGTCCCACGGAGCTATGATAAGAATAGAGTAGGATCAAAATGGAAGGTTTTCCCAGAGCAGTATTGCACTAGATATGTGATTTTTCCTGCCTTTAAAGTCTATTGGACTTGTCCTCCTAGCTCCGGATAAACAGATATTCAAAGTGTATATCTAAATATGTACAGAGAACATAGTAAATTGAAAGATCAACTTCTGGCCTGTTTCTTTAGATTACATTCAAAGTTTCAAAACTCTGGTTAAAATTTCTGAAGACATCATTTTGAACCACACATTCTCTCTTGTACTTGGTTGCATTTGTTCCAGTTTGTTGTCATCTCATTGTAGTACAAGCCTCAGGACACTTCGTTTTTTTTAAATACAGGCAGTCCCCGGGTTACATACAAGATAGGGACTGTAGCTTTGTTCTTAAGTTGAATCTGTATGTAAGTCGGAACTGGCATCCAGATTTAGCTGCTGCTGAAACTGACCAGCGGCTGACTACAGGAAGCCTGAGGCAGAGTTGCTCTGCCCCGGGCTTCCTGGAATCAGCCGCTGATCAGTTTCAACAGGCTGAATCTGGACGCCAGTTCTTACATACAGATTCAACTTAAGAACAAAGCTACAGTCCCTATCTTGTATGTAACCCGGGGACTGCCTGTATTTAAAAAAAACGAAGTGTCCTGAGGCTTGTACTACAATGAGATGACAACAAACTGGAACAAATGCAACCAAGTACAAGAGAGAATGTGTGGTTCAAAATGATGTCTTCAGAAATTTTAACCAGAGTTTTGAAACTTTGAATGTAATCTAAAGAAACAGGCCAGAAGTTGATCTTTCAATTTACTATGTTCTCTGTACATATTTAGATATACACTTTGAATATCTGTTTATCCGGAGCTAGGAGGACAAGTCCAATAGACTTTAAAGGCAGGAAAAATCACATATCTAGTGCAATACTGCTCTGGGAAAACCTTCCATTTTGATCCTACTCTATTCTTATCATAGCTCCGTGGGACTCATTTCATAAACCCATCTGCTTCCCTCTGTGCAAAGCAGAATAGAGTAAATTTGTGGGAAAAATACAGTGAGAATGGTGCTGGGAGGGGGCAGGTGATCTCTGGGATATTTGCACCCTTTTATGCATCAATCTCTGTCCCTTTTGTAAAAATCAGGGCTCAGTGGTCACACAGAAATAAAGTGTGCTGCAAAGGAACGGGGTGGAGCACCCTGAGAAAAGCTACTACATTTTGCATTTTCCCCAGACAAGTTGCAAAGCCTTCAAAGCAGTACTAAATTAATCCTCCTTTTCCAGTAACCTCATTTTCCCCAATCCACATCTATTCCCAGGCAGCCAGTGGCAGTAAAATATCCTGCCTGACATCTTTCATGAAGACTAGATTCCTTCAGAAGAGACGGAATACTGAAATGTATTGCTTGCTGTGTTCCTCTGCATGCTAATCCATAATCAAAATGGACTTCCAAATCTAGAGTTAGCCATGAAAATATTCATGTCTGAACATCTGGAAGCAATGGTACAATATATAAGCTTAGTGCAATTTTCTAAAATATCATAAGCCCTATAGTGCAGACAAGAGTGAAATACATCCCAGTGAACAGGGCTCATCAAGGCTGTTTAAAGACTAATTAAATTCTTAGTGGGAGGAAGGACTTGCAAATAAACAAACTGAATTTACCCTCAATAAGCCATTAGCATATCAAAGAAAGAGGCCATGAAACTTATCCTTATTACAGGAAGTCACTGGCCAGAGATTAGATCAAATGGTCTAAACACGAGATAATTTAAAACTGGTTGCCTCTTGGAGATGGAAAGCAGGTATTTATGTAGTTGCTTTTCAGATAAAGACTATCTGAACTTGTTTGTCCAAAATAAGATTTTCAGATTAAAGTACCTGAAGTTTTGCTGCCAGCATGTGTGGGGGGGAGTGGGCAATTACATAGTGTTTGCTACTGTTAAGTCATGCACCAATCACTGAACTTTGTGTTTTCTCATCATTAACAGGAAATGGGCCATGCATTTATTTCATGATAAAATATCATTGACATATAGCAAGTTACTGCATGGCAAACAGTGCACAAGCTTGCCATGTAGAAATGTTGCTTGTGGACACTACTACAATGTTGTGAAAGTCCCAGAGTGCAGCTTACTATATACTACACTCTGTTCTCTTTTTTGGACTTAATGTTTTTCAGTAATCCTCTTTATTTGCCTACTATTTGTCAATTTATCTAGTTACTTATGGCAAACAGTTGCTGAATATTAAAAGGAGCACTTTAAAAATTAGTTAAAAACTCTGATCCTCTTTAATATTAAAGATATTAAAAATCACACCTATACTTTTCATTGCCAAAATTAGTTATTTTAACATATCATAATATAAATACACAAATAGCAGCAACAATATTCAAAATGCTTTCTTTTTACCTGATGATATATTTTTGATTCTGTACTCCCTTAGCTTTGGTACTGGTTTGTTTTCAAATTCATGTTGAATAATTTCTTCCCTTTCATTCTGCAGTACAGCCATATATGATTGATTACAGTGGTCACCTTCACTATCATCACAAGTTGACTCTTCAGTGAATGAACATTCTGTTTCATCATCTCTGCCATCACTCAAGTTCTGACTTTTCAAAATCGTCCTCTGTTGCTGTTTCACTTCATCTAATGGTGAAGTCAACTCATCAGCAATTTCACTTTTCAAAAGAGCCTTTTTCTGAGCAATCTCAAAGGCAATTAATTTCTTAATTATGTTTTCAACAGCTGAATTAGTGTCTGAAAGTTCTTCTAGAATGCCCAAAACCAATGTATTTTCATCAATTTCTATATTAGATTTGTATTTGATGTATAAAAGGGATACAGCAATCTCATATTTTATACCAGAAGAAAATGTATTATGCAGCTCTGCCCTAGCCAATATCTATGTCTTTAACTCCTATTCTGTTGCCCCTCAACTCCACTGTACTTGATTTCCTTTGCTTTTTAATCCCACTCCTGTTTCCTGCCTTTTTCCAATTTTGAACCCTGAACATAGAATGTCCTCCCAGTCTTCATTAGTTAATTCCAGCCACTCATCAGATTCAAGTTCCTTCTAAAAACCCACTTGTCCATCGCTACAAGGAGTTAACTTTTAAAAAAACATTTTAAGCAGAAGAATGAAGATGGGCACATACTATACATTGCGATTCCTTATGCCTTTCTATTGTTACACTCATTAGTTGTGTCCAATAGAAATTTACATTGTAAACTTCACAAATAATGTATGGCCCCATCCTGTTTTGTGTAATGCCCCGAGTATAGTTTGGATATGTTTTATAAAACCTTGCCCCTGTTATTTCCATTTGATCTGAGTAATTTCAGGTAAAAAAAGGGTGACTAAAAACCTCAGAAGTATCAAACTAACACGTGTCAAATGCATGAAAGGACTTGCTAAGAAGTCTGTCTATAAAGGAAAGTCTGGTGTTTGTACATAAGCATAAATCAAAAGACCTAGCAGATATGAGTAAAATCAAGGTATCACAATGATGAAGATCTTAGAATCACAGAGTCATAGAACACTAGAACTGGAAAGGACCTTGAGAGGTCATAGAGTCCGGTCCCCTGCCCTCACGGCAGTACCTAAGTACAGGTTGACAGTCTTTATTCCGGATTTCTCTAGATTGGCAACACTCCTGATCCGGCATTGTTAGCATGACCCCATGTGGGACCAGGAGCATTGCCAGACTAGGGCAGGTGGAGCGCAGGAGTCTCAGGCTACAGTGGGGTAGCTGGGGAAAGCCCCTGGTGCTGAGATGTTGGGGAGAGCCTTGGCATGGGACTGCTGGGCAGAGTGCAGAACTCCAGGTGCAGGGCCACTGGGGAGCACGCATGGCAGCAGCAGGACTGTTGGGTGGAGTACACAGCTGCTGGGGAAAGCCCCTGATGGCAGCAGGGCCACCAGGCAATGTGGAGCCCTCCCAGGTGGGGGCACAGCCATGGGGAAAAAGCGGAGCCCTGGGTGAGAGCAGAGTCGCAAGGGCGGTGGGGGCAGGTAGTGGAGCTCCCCTCTCCCATGGGGAGAACAGAGCCCCAGGTGGCAGCAGGGTGGCCAGAAGGAAATGTGGAGACCCAGGTGCATTGACCTCCCCTGGTCTGGCAAATTCCCTGGTCAGGTCCAACTTGAACCATCTCATCCCTCTCTTAAATTACATTATGACATTTAAAGCAACAAATTCCCTTAACAGATAGAACTCCAAGCAGAGTGGATCTATTAGGGCTTAGTCTGCATAATAATAACAATAACAACAACAAATCCTTAAACATTATATAGAACCTGAAATGAGGAAAAACAAAGGCCCAATTGTGCACCTACTGATATCAATGGGAATTCTGATCCTAACTTTATTTAGCAGGACAGAGTACATAATTCATGAGTTGTCATAATTTGGAATCTTGCTACATTAAACTATACTGGCTCTTAAGGATCTTTAGTGGTTCATCAGTAAGGGGGGGGAACACACACACAAAACTGCTGCTATTTAACATACCATCTTCATCACTGTCAAAGTCATCTGAGTATTCAGAAGTTTGCCTTCTTGCTGAACGAGCAGAAATCGCTTCTTGTAACTCATCCTGAAATATTTTAGCAGATAACTTTTATTCAGAAGGAAAGATCTATTACTTGAAGTTCAACACTCATTCTTCTTATTACCAAAATATGTTTTGGGACAGTAAGGGTGCATCTACACTGCAGGGCTTAACTCGAAATAAGCAATGCAAATTGAGGTACGCCAATTGTGCATCTTATTTTGAAATAGCTTAATTTGAAATAGGAAGAGTCTACACAGCACTTATTTCAAAATAGAGCACTCTTCCTTCGACTTCCCTTATTCCTCATACAACTTCTTACAAGAGTCAGATTAAGAAGTCCTCTAGTTTGACAATATTTCGACACTATTTTGAAATAACTGCCTGCTGTGTAGACGGGGATTAAGTTATTTTGGAATAGCTTTAGTTATTTCGAAATAGCATTGCAGTGTAGACATACACTAACAGATATGTATTTTTGGTGGTGAGTGGGAGGGGGTGAGCAAACTAGTATAGTGTAGGGTTTCCCAAAATTTTGAAAGCTAATTCATCTTTTAGGAAAATACCACCAGCTGGATCCTTCTCTCCATCTTTGCCACATGCTGATAAAATGTCTTTGTTTATTTATCTTTTGAGTATCAAGCCCAACATCTTAGAACTCCATGCTTGTTCTTGCCCACTCTTTGAAAAATATTTGTCTAGTTAACAAATCACTTGATTGGCAGTCAGAAGACATGGCTTGTTTCTGATATTGCCCTATATGTGACACCGGGTAAGTCTCTTCAGTCCAGATCCAAAGGTACTTTCACAAGTCCGTACATTTAGGTGCCTCAGAAATCACCAGAATCCACAAAATCTGAGTTAGTTACCAAAGCTCCCTATACAGTGGAAAGATAAGCATTTAAGAATTGGATCTACAAAAGCCAGCATATTAGGCAATTTCCCTCCTAACATAACCAATAGCAGAGAGAGCGTTTTCTTGCTAAAAAATTACCAGCCATTAACAACCTGGAAGCAGTCAGACCCTCCATTAAAGTGCATATAAACTTCATCTTGTCACAAAGACACTACATGGGTCTTAGTGCTCAATATCTCTGCTCTTCCTATCCCTATTCTGACAGCTTCAGAGGGGTAGCCGAGTTAGTCTGTAAGGGCTCATCTAGACTGAGCTAAAGTGTCAAAAGAGGATATGCAAATTCCACGGCATAATACATAAACAATAAATAAAACTATTTATTGTTTTTTAAGTTTTTCCTGTTAGGGCTCATCTAGACTACGCTAAAATGTTGAAAGAGGATATGCAAATTCCTGCGGAATCCCTTCTTCCAATCTCACTTTTGAAAGCAGAGCTTTCAAAAGTGAAAATAGTTTGGACGTGGCTTTTTTGGCGACCCCCTGGCCTTTTTCAAAAAGCCGCTTTTCCTCAAATAATGAGATTTACGTGGCTTTTCGAAAAGTGAGGTTCGCTGAAAAAGCCGTGTCCAAACTACTTTCACTTTCAAAAGCTCCGCTTTAGAAAGTGAGATCAGAAGAAGATACGTAAATTCCTGTGGAATTTGCATATCCTCTTTCGACCCTTTAGCATACTCTAGATGAGCCCTAACAGGAGAAACGTAAAAAACAATAAATAGTCTAGTGGCACCTTCAAGATTAACAAAACATGTAGATGGCTTTATGGGCTTTCCTGGGCACAACCCACTTCTTCAGATGAGTATTAGAAGTCCCAATCCAAGAATAAATAAGGAAAGGGGGGTGGGGAGAGGAGGAAAAAAAGACAAGAAAGGAGGGGAGGAAAAAAGAGAGAGAGACAGTGAGTAGATGGTTCAAATAGTTACAAGAGGCTGATAAGAACAATAAGCACCTCCATTGTTTGGTTGATTGGTTAAGTTATTAGCATGTGGAAGGTAGTGTGCCAGTCAGCGGATGTCCATACCAAATGGTAACCAGGACTGATTACTGTATGAAGGCATAAGAGTACATTTAAAATATAGAATCAGCTTAGAAATACTGATTAAGAAAATGTAAAACAGAAGAGCTGCATCATGTATGCCGTATTTCATTCTGTATTCAGCAAGACAGCTGATTTGCTTTTATTTACAAAGTTTTTGCAAATAAACCTAACAAGCATCAGAGTATATTAAAAAACCTGTGGCTGACATTTTTTATTCCCACATTTAGTACTTTTAATTAGGTACCTTCTGCTTGTCCAGTTTTCACAATCTGGCATGCAATGGAAAACACGCTCCATTTTCTTTATAAATACATTTTAGAGGAGTGGTTTTTTTTTTCAAATGCCATTTGCCACGTTTGAGTTCAGCGATTTGTCTGGAAGGGGTGAGCAGAAAGGGGGAGAGAAGAGAAGGGGGAGACAGTATGGAGGGAGCAGAGCCTGGGCAGAGTGAAGGATGGAGTATATGGGCAGTGCCACAGGCTGAGAAGCTTACCTCCCCAAGCAACAGCATCAACCATGGCCCATCGGATTCATACAAAAATTATCTACCCAGAATTTGTATTCTGACATTCCTTGTTCTTATTGGATTAACATAGATGTTTTACCTTAAACTAGGAAAATTATTACCTACATTTAGGAGATCAAGAGAACCTCAGCATAATTATTCTAAAGAAACACAAAGAAACTAAAATGAGAATATCAATTCTACTTTTAAGATGGGAAAGTATTTCTGTTTAAGTGTTTTCTTTTCTGGCATATTGACAGTAGAGTTGTTTTAGTTTCTGTAGCACAAAGGCCAGGTTTTTCATAGAAACTTTAGCCAGTACAGCAATGTTATTTAGCGGTGACAGTTCCACAATGGCAAAAACATCATTGTCGACGTATCTGCATAAAAGTGCTTTTAGTTCACTTGCCAGACTGGTATCACGATAAAAGCAAGGTTTTTTTTACGATAAGCTGTACCTGCATTAAGAGGCGAGTTTGTCAAGTAAACTAGTGTAGATTTGACTACATTTTTAATCGGATACTTTGGGGCAAAATAGTTTACCTGAAAAGCCGTTCTCTTGGAGACTTTGGGGCTCTTGGCATAGGCTAACGTGGTGCCAATATCAGACATGGTGGGGAAACAGTCCGGAGAAATGACTCTGATGCAGTTTCTATTTGTTTTCACGCACTCAGCTCTGCGATGCAGTGAATTCAAATCTCTCCTGAAAACGTAAACGAGGGGGCGTGATTAAAGCCGGGATCCACCGCTCAGGGCAATTCATCTGCCCAGCTCCGCTCGGGCGGCCCGGGGCGCTGCAGGAGGCGCCGGGGAGCAGTTCTGTGCAAAGCCCCGGCGTGGCCGGGCTGCCGGA